CTGTGACGACCCTGTGGCGGGGTGGTGGGGTCCGTCCCTCCAAGTGGTGCCACTGGGAACTGCTCACTTTTGTGTGCTGGGCTGATCGTGGACTTCGAATGGCCGATGTCAGACTTTGCGATTGGAGCGATTTTGCACCAATTGCAGGAGCGACGGATCGCTTGAGCGATGCGAGCGACGGGAGATTTACCCGCCGAATACCGATACACACGGCGCCGCTCGGGTAAATCTCCCGTCGCTCGCATCGCATCGCTTGAGCGATCCGTCGCTCCTGCAATTGGTGCAAAATCGCTCCAATCGCAAAGTCTGACATCGGCCAATGCAACGGGCTCCCGTGACAGGCCGGCCTACGAATATCCAAGTCAAATCTTCATGGTTAATGACATCAGAAAAAATATATGTATACAAGAAACTAGATGGTTCCTGTGACTTGATTCGTGTGACTTTCTTTTGCCCCTGCTTTTTATGGCTATACTTCGAAATTAGTTGTAGGCGTGGGTTTTGAGCTAACTCGTATTTTCAGAGGAGCAGTAACAGTACGGCAGACAGCAAATGATCATCGATCAGTATGCCAAATCAATAAAAAAAATTTAAATCAATTAGTTCGGTTTTAATCACTTAGGCCGTACTAGCTGCTCTTTTTTGCATTAATGTTCTCAGAACGTTTTTTTTTGTGAGCTGAGGGCCTATGCAACCTTCTCGCCTCACGTTGTTTATCAAGAATTCATGACCGATAAATAGGTTTTCGCTTCGGCTTCTAACTTCCAACACATGTTCTCCTGTATCTCATCCGTGCATTTGTAGTCTTCATTGCTGAGGTGCGGTGGTTGTTCTGATCTTTGCCAAATCGTTCCGTTACAGATAATTTTCCATGCTCACTGCTAATCGCATGCTATTATGTGCCGTCGTTTGAATTGCCATTGCAGAACAACCTTTTTTTCTTCGTAATTTGCAACTATTCTCTCTATTGATCGGAGCTCGTTAGACTACCTCCAGCCGTCAGTCATACTTCAATCTCTTGTCGGTGTGTATTGACCAAATCTCTCCAGCGCACGTTTCTTCGGCCATTTTTCCCAGAGATAAATTTTTTGCTTTTTTTCATTCTGCTCTGTGGACCGTTGAAGTGCTGTGTGTGCCATCTCCGTTCTTTCTATTTTTAAGATTCAAGTTTTGAGGGTTCTCTATATGACACCTGGCGCGTCTAATTTTCATTTTAGTTAGTAGCAGATTCAATATTGTTGTGGAGGGAGTGTGGTTCAGCACAATTGTTTACTGTGCTTGTTTTCCGAAGCCGCTAAAAATTACTATGGTGTTCTACTAATCCACCTGTTTTGGCCGTTCCATTTCCAAAATCATTAGAGAATCACTGCTTGTGTGGATTTAGGCTGGGATCAGACTTTGCTTAGCGCTGGGATGGAAAGTCCGACACCGGCCCTAGCATGGAGAATTGAAATGTTTGCGAGACAAAGTACATAGGGTTGAAGATCAAATTC